ATATATATATATATATATATATATTGCTTTTACTTGAAAAGTAAGTTCACTTCTTTTTTTTTATTATTATTTATGGAATAGTTCATTACTAAAACACAGGAAATATGACTGTAACAGTTATTTTTTTAGTTTTCTTTTCTATGGGTACATGTGTGCGTATAAGTAAATTAATGTTTTGGACACTATTGGACACCAGTGGCTTTAAATAAAACACAATGTACTTATACTCTAATTTAACTAAACATTATTTGATTTTTCCCATACATTTGTTCCGTCTCAACTCATATGTTGTCACTCAGAAGTGAGGCTGATGTGAAATCATGTGGTAACACGGATATAAGGAAATTAATTTACAAAGGCGACCGTTAAAAGTAAGCTCCCATCATGCAACTATACAGTGGATGTGCCAATTATTGATGAAACATTTCACCAATCTGTAAGTTACAAGGTTTCAGCCTGCGTTTGAATGTGCTGACCAATCTCTCACAAAATCTGTCCATCATCTGCTGCCAAATACACAGTTGCCATGGCAACTGAAAGGAAATGAGTAATGAGGCGCTGACATTGCCCGATGTACAACATTGCTCAATTGCACACAATGGAGAAACTGACAGTGTTACAGTATGAGATAGAGCGCGCTGGTCATGTGATTTTGAGGATGTCTACACACGCTGTCACTAACACACGGTGTCAAAAGTGAACACTTCACTGCCTATATCACTTTTTGGATAAGCTTATGGAGACAAAACCCAAAGTCACTTACTATGGATTAATACACATAAAAAAAATAAAAAAAACACAGAAAAAGGTCTATTTAAAGGGTTAATGGTTATGAGTGACCATGATAAAGGAAAAATCTTTTTTAAAAATCTAGTTAAAAATGCATGTGCCAAGTTCTTAGAACTGTACTCTTTTATTCATGTTGGTTTCAAACATGAATATAAAACTTTTATCAAGCTTGTAAAATATTAATAATCTTATTAATTAATAGTCTTTTTTCATTAAGTTTTTAAAAATATATTTTTCAATGTAAAATGTACTTTCTTTTTTTTTTTTTTTTTACAAATATCATTTACAAACTAATGCAATCTTGTCTTAATAAAATATCAGATTATCAAAGAAGTATTGACCTTTAAATACTGTCACAGGGTCTGCTGGGGCATGATATCACATGCTTTTTTCATGCATATTGGTTGCACCACATGACTTTGATTTGATGAACTAAAGTTGAAAAATAACTTAATTTTTTCATTTAATGTTTAATGATTTTTTTTTTAAATTCATAAATATCTGTGTGTGTGTGTGTGTGTGTGTGTGTGTGGTTGCACCACATGACATTTTACAACCTGAAGGCTTGTCATAAAAAGATCAAATTCAGATCAAACAGTCATGAGGGTCTACAGGGTTCTATGATATCATATGCTTTTTTTCATGTATGTTGGCTGCACCACATGACTTTGATTTGACAAGTTTTAAATGTATTTTAAATAAATATTAATATCAATAATTTATATTATTTAATATCAATATGAAATAATGTCATATGAATATATATATATATATATATATATGTCAAATGTATTTTTACAAATATCATGAATTGCTAACTTAAAAGTATCATTATGTTTTTGTGGAGTTGCACCACATGACATTTTACAACCTGAACTAATCTTCCCTGCATGTTGGTTGCACCATATGACTTTGATTTGATGACAAAAGTTAAAAATTTGATTTTTTTTTTATATTATTAAGTCATAAATATGATTACATTTTTTTTTGTGGAGCTGCGCCACATTACACTTTACAACCTGAACTAATCTGATATTTTCCAAGATGTACTGACCTTCACAAACAGTCATGAGGGTCTACATGGGTCTATGATACATGTTGGTTGCACCACATCACTTTGATTTGACAACAAATGTTTTTAAAACGTTTTTTTTTTTTTACAAATATTATGAATTAATTCATACATATGAGGGCCTATGATGCATGTTGTTTGCTCAACCTAACTTTTATTTGACAAACAAAAGGTAAAAAATAAATATTAATACGTTTTGTTAAACTGTTGCAAAACATTATTTTAATCAGTTGGATCAGCAAAGAACCATCTTCTATACTTTAATATATTTATTTGTTAAGTTTCATTATAGGTTCTTCTGATCAGTACGTTGGTTCTT